TATTTATTTCTCTAGCTAGAAAAAGGTAAGGCACCCTTTCGAAAGTAGAGATAGTGAATAGTTTTTAAAAGTATTTATGAATTGTAAAACTGATTTGCATTACATACGTATACACTGGTATTTGGGGTCAGTGGGTGGGGATGGAGGGTTCAATAGTTTTGTCCATTTCAAGAAAAGACGAAAGAGTTTATTTTCTGTATATCTTTACTATAAAGTCTATAACAGCTTTAATATCTTGCTTGATGGTGTACTGTGTACCGATCATATGAATAATGTCTGCATTCGTTTGTCAACTCTTTTGATAGTTTTATGTTTCTGAACAGATTGTGATTTGTGAAATTCCAATTATTTCAGTATGGTTTCATTTGTATCCAACATAGTTCTCTTTAGTTTATTAAATTAATACGCTTGGGTACAACACTGTGTCCCATTTTCTTTATCCGGCAAAACCACTGCTTTTCCATGCAGTTGTATGCTTCCTCTTTTGTATTTCATATTTTGTTTGCAAATAATATTTTTCATGTTTTATGTGCGTTTGTCAGATGCATAAAATTAAATACATATTTGGTATGAATCGTATGATTGTTTTGTATATGCTGTTTGTATATGTTTTTTTTTTCTTCAGAAACTGAAGCAAAAACAGTCACACATTTGCTTGTTTTTATTTTTATTGAATACCGCCTAACTGTAGCGATTAAGGCAACAACTCCAGCGACTTGACAATTCCTCCCCTCGTGTTTGCAGAAATTGGCTCAATACAGACAAAAACTGGATGACTTATTTGAGTAATGTGGTAAGAGTTATTATGACCAAATTATATTTGCTTTCAAATGAGTAACAATAATAATGTATCCTTAATCCTTTTGTTTATTTGTATACAGGCTCCGGGTTATCATGGGATATAGAACTGCGATTTGTAAACCTGTGTCTTTAAATCTGTGTAATTTTAGGAGCAAGAGAGTTGGTTCACCTAGTGCTTTTTCTGTACCAGTTAAACCGGTAAGGTAAAGAAGTACTATGTATATTGTATGTGTGCTATACCTACTGATTAAAAGACCGTGTGAAATGTGATGTTTGCTATACATGTTATTTGCCCCTTCCATCCCGGGCTTTGGGTTCCTAAAGATGCTTGCTTCTGTTGCCTAAAATGCCTTTCTGTATTGCAACAAACCCTTCAATTAATGTGACACCATTTAGGTGCTTTTTGAGGTGAGAATAGTATTGGTAATACTCGTATATGCTAGAGATAATGTTGTCATGTCTCCAAAACTACGGTGAATCTACGATTCTGTCGAATGGTGGGGTGGGGGATTGTAGGGGTGGACCCGGGCCGGGCGTGGGCCCGGGCGGGCTTTTTTTTGGAATGTTGGGCCCGGAACCGGCCCGGGTTGATAACGGGTCCGGGCCAAACCAGGACGGGCCGGGCCCGGTTCTGTGTAATTTTTTTTTTGCTTTCTAGTTAACCCCTACCCCCCTCCCTCACCCCACCCCCAAAACCCCCCAAGTATTATGGCCCGAAGCTTGCCCATAATACCCCCGATTTGGGCCCCCAGTCCTGGTCCCGGTGGGTCAGGCCGGGCCGAACCGGCCCAGTCCATGCCTAATTGCCATCCCTAGTAAAGGTGAATATAATAGTGCATTTATTGACACCAAAATAGAATCTTTTGAGATTAGTGAAGTTATGGTTGTTTCCGCTTAATTAAGAAAAGGAAATATTTTATTAGTAAACTAGCTTTCAAGCCCGTGCCATACACGGGCAGTATGTAATTTAGCTAATTTGAAATTTATATTCTATCGGATCACATATAATGTGATTTAAAAGAAAAATAAACTTAGTCTAATATAGAGTCTATTTGATAATACTAAAGTAAATAGAATTAACTTATTTTGCTGAAATTGATTGAATTCTGGTTAAATAGGTGGAATCTTTTGAATCATGAAAAATATATGTGAAATATATTCCATTTGTGAAACAAAGAAAAAAATATATGGAAAAAAAAGTTAAATTGGTCTTCTACATAAGCATCTCAAGTAAACATAATTGTTATGAACCCAATAATAATAAAAAATTATATTTCTTGATTGTTAGATCTTACAGTTTAGTCATTAATAAGAACGTTTTTAATTGAATTAAAATTTCGGGTTTGATTTGGTATAAATTAATATGGTCTATTAGATGTCTGTTTTTTATGTCTGTTATAATTATTAAAGTTTGATCTGATCTGATTTAATCTGGAACTGGAATCAATCCAATTAAAAACATTCTATTAAAATAAAAGTTGGAATTCGTAAACCTATAAAGATTTTCTAATTTGGATTAGAAATCTATTTCAAAAGTGAAGGCATATTTGAATTTTAGGTGTAAAATAAAGAAACAACCAAAAAAAATTACTTATTTGGCTAAGCTAAACATATTTACTTGTGAAAATATATATACTTTATCTTGGTTATAATTTTTAATTTCATTTTTAATTAATTACTTATTTGAAGCTTACTAATTTATTAATAGGTGTCAAATTAATAAGTAAATTAATTTGCATATTTGTTTCTATTTAATTCGGTGTAGTAAACTAATATAAATTAGTTTCCATATCAATAAACGTTATTAAAATTTCACTTTGATAATCAAATATTATTTTACTTATTTGAAGCTTACCAAATTAATTAAGGTGGATTTATAAGGATTTTTGTTTCCATATTAATATGCAATCAAAAATAGAATCTAATAAAAACAAAAGGTATAAAATTAAAATAAGTAAATAATTGTTATATATAATGACATGACAGGATTATGTGGCGCTTTGTATGCTCTTAAAAAGTTCCTCTATTATATATATATTGATTAAAGATATATATATATATATATATATATATATATATATATATATATATATATATATATATATATATATATATATATATATATATAGAATAAGGATCAAATGAGAAGAGTGCTTATCGTAAGAAGTGAGAATGCATCTGGTGCGTTCATTTTAAGATCTGTGCATCAGATTAGCAAAAAAGTGCACGGGAAAGTGCAAAAAATATTAAATAATGTGATGCTAGACGCGGTGGCATATCCGTAATTAATCGGAACTTTTCTGTCATCGCAAAAAGTGCATCAGATTAGCGAAAAAGTGCATCAGAAATAGACAAATGTGAAGCTTCTCACTTCTCACGTTAAGATGTCTTCTCATTAGAACCCGACCCTATATATATATATATATATATATATATATATATATATATATATATATATATATATATGCTAAAGGGTCAAATAGGTACATGAACTTATTTAAAGTGTTCAATTAGACCCTTATATAGGAGGTTCTGCACGGACGTCGTCAATTGAGGCGGTTTCTGGTAGAATATTTTGATGAAATTTTTTGAGCATTTTCTTCATTAAGTCTAGTTTACCCATACCAAATTTCAGCTAAAAATTCAACTCGGAAGGCAGTGAAATGATTTTTTGAAGATAACTGTGCAGTTAAACAGCGCAGTACATTTTGGAAAATCATTTGACTGCCTTCCTGATTTAATTTTTAGCTGAAATTTGGTATGGGTAAACTAGACTTAATGAAGAACTTGCTGAAAAAATTTCATCAAAAATTTCCACCGGGAACTTCCCTAATTGGTGACGGCCGGGAAGAACCTTCTATATAAGGGTCTAATTGAACATTTTAAGTTAGTTCATGTACCTATTTGACCCTTTAGCCTATATATATATATATATAGATAGATAGATAGAGAGAGAGAGAGAGAGAGAGAGAGAGAGAGAGAAGATCAGGTGAGAAGTCCTCCTTAAGATGAGAAGTGAGAAGTAATCTCAGCCCCTGGATTTGCATCTAATCTTACAACGCAGCAAACTTATAGACTGAATATAGTAACTTATAAACAATAAATCATAACTTATAAAGCTCTCCATCTTAATTACGGAAATGCCACCACGTCAAAAAAATTTCCAGGTTTCTGGAGTTATTTGGACGCGGTGGCATTTTCGTAATTATTTTCGAGGGGGTCTATAAGTTATGATTTATTGGTTAAAAGTTTGTACTTTTAGCTTATAAGTTAGACTTCGCAGCTTCTCAGTCTAAGGGCACTTCTCACCTGATCCGCTCCATATATATATATATATATATATATATATATATATATATATATATATATATATATATATATATATATATATATATATATATATATATATATATATATATACTCCCTCCGTCCCATAATTAACTTCGGTTTTGACTGGGCACGGAGATTAAGATAGTGGGATTTGTGTGGTGGAGAGTTGTGCAGAGGAGAGAGAAATGTGTAAGAATGATTATGAACCACATATTCTTTATCAAAAAAGGAAAGAGGAGATAAATTGGGGACGGACCGAAAAGGAAAGAATGAAGATAATTTCGGGACGGAGGGAGTATATATATATATATATATATATATATATATATATATATATATATATATATATATATATATATATATATATATATATATATATATATATATATAATAGTGAATTTGATCAGTTTAAGACTAAAATTAGTTATCTATCAATCAAGGAGTTGAAAGATGAAAATTATCGATATAGAATACAAATGATTGCAAACTATCCATTTAAGAGTTGAATTGTCATGATTTCCTTTCTTTAATCTTTTATACGGAGTCTATTTTATGTCTAATTTTTGAAGATTTTTTATGCACAACAATTTATTAATTTGATAGAATAAAATAATAATATAGAAAACAAAAAACAATTATGGTATTTTAAGTGTTAGATTGATGTTTTCAATCACTCAGACCTATTTCGATAATTTTACCCTTTGTATCCTTGATCGATAGTTATTCTATTTTTCAGATCCTAGATTGTAAAAATAGTTAAATTTCATTTTTTTCACAAATTCAATCTATTTAACTAGAAAAATAATGACTATTACACAATTGAGCTTGAGAGAATAAATCATATTTGTAAAAATGACAAATAAGAGCAATGAGATGAATATATTAGTTGTCAAATAGACTTAAAATTTTTATGTTTTTTTATCATCAAAACCCACAAATCCATTAATCAAGCAAATCGTTCGCCAACTGACATACAATATAACGAGGGATAAAATCATAGGTAACCCTCTGATCTGAGACCATAACGTGTGCTTTAGCTAAAACATGAGCAACACGATTCGCAGACTGTCTACAAAAAGAGATTATAATATTACTCTTTGTTTCTAACACTTTCCTAATATCATCAGTGAAAAGACGGAGATAAGAAGAGCCGCCTCCCTTTTTTATCCCCTGCACAACAGTGAGTGCATCTGTCTCAATCTCCACTTTGCTCCAGCCTTCCTCTACCGCTCCAAAAACCGCATCTCTAAGCCCCGCTGCTTCCGTCTCTGTTGCCGACCAGTTTGCCGAGCACGACGATCCCCGGGCCTTGACAAAGTCACAATTTTCATGTCATGCCACCCAACCTCGTTTACAGCTCCATCTACATTTAGCTTAATATACCCCATACCAGACTTCTTCCATTTTTTCTCTATGGCCGCGATATGCGCCTCCTTCCAGCAGGCAATCATGCTCGCTACCCCATTTATCACGCTTGTTGCTTACTGTTTTTTATCTTTCCACACCGCATTATTTCTTCTCTTCCATATACTCCATAGCATGGACATAAATATGCCCCTACCCGGTTTCTCGATGATGATATTCTTCCTCTCAACCAATCCCCCACCGGCCGATCCTCTTCTATTGGAGTTCCTACCTGCAGCCACACTTGACGGACCAGGGACACAATCGCATTGCGTGATCAAGTGACTCTGATGCCTCAACACACAACTTGCACCCATTCTGAATCTCCACTCCTTTCTTTCTTAGGTTGTCAACAGTCGGAAGAGATCCATCTAACACTTGCCATGCAAAGAATTTAAACTTTGGAGGGACTTCTAAATCCCATAGCTGCTTCCACCCATCCCACCCGTCGACCTGCATCTCCCCTATCAATGCACAGTAACATCTCTTAACCGAGAAGACACCATTATTTTCCCCAATCCACCAAAAACAACCTTTCCTGTCTTGAGCACTAATAGGGATGCTAAGAATATTATTTCTATCTGTCTCGTTAAAGAGAGATAAAATTTTATTCATATTCCAGAATTTACATTTGATGTCTCTGAGGGTGCAACATTCATATCCTTAATTCCCAAGGGTCGAGGAAACGAAATCATTCATGTTCCCTCACCCGGTAGCCAAGCGTCCGCCCACACTTCTACCTCCACACCATTCCCTACCCTCCTTCGGATATTACTCCTCAGAATAGTCTGAGTCTAAAAAATACTCACTCCTTTGAGTTTCAAACCCTTTTGTGCCTAGATCAATTAACTCCATATTTGTCAATATGGTCTCAATTCATAATCAAGTTCATTCCTTACCAATTATATCATATTTAAGCATCATAATCCATGAAAACATGATTTAGACATTTAGGTAATCTCATGCTTAATCTAAAGTTGTAAGCAACTAGATGTCGATCCTCACCTCCAATGAGCTTTAGACTTCCCTTTCGCAATCCAATGGTCAAAGCTTCGGACAAGGAAAGTTGAGAACCGATTCCTCGCCTAAAAATGGGTTCTAAGCAGCCTCCTCAAGGTGCTAGCTCGGCCCCTAACCAACGGGATGAAAACACTCTAGAAAGGGTGATTTCCGGCGAGTTCGCTTCCTAACCTTTCAAGGTTCATTCTAGGTTAGTGTCTAACCTCTAAAGCCATAACTTAATCTTGTCAAGAACATATTCTACACTTTCAATAGTGTATAATAGTCTCCACGCTCGTTCAATGATTTAGATAATGAAAAGAAATGTTCTGGATTCAAACTCACTTTAGAGAAGAAAAACCATTCTGCGAGTTTGCGTTTGTCTACGATGATTTGGATGACTTACACAACTCTGTTTGTTGCGATATACACCTTCCCAGAATCCTCGTCTTGAGATCTTGCTTTAGACACCTCACATGCCTAATTTGAACAAGTGAAACTCTAGATATGAGGTGAACAATCAACCCTACACACTGTTACGAATTCTGCAGATAATACCTTTTTCTTGCTCTCTTTGATTTTGTGTAGCACTCTTCTTCTCTAAGCTTTGGGAGTTCGTATGGGAGGTCCTAAGGGTGCTCTTAGACCTCTCTAAAGGATAGTTACTTTGTGTGGAGTGGCATGAGTGGTATGTGGATGATTCTCCACCATGTCTCACTAATCATGTAAGAATGTGGCCATGTGGGGTCCATGCCTTGTCATTTCAATCTCAAATCAGCCCCCTTAAGACCACTTGGAGGGGTGTGAGAGTCTAAATGTTAAAAATGGACACCGTCCATATAAAAACAGTGTTTTGACTCGTATTTCTCTGCATTCCAGCAACGTCAATAAAATACACTCTTCACATTTTTTACATATCAATTTAGTAAAACATTAATTAAATTATTATAAGTAATTCTTTTCTTTTAATTTTTTCTCTGATTAATTATAAAATAAAAAAGACACATTTCGATGTAAAAAAATAATTTTCATTTATTTTTTTTTCTTTTTCCGATTAAGTGAGTTCAAACACATTGGAGCATTGGATTCTCTTGTCAACTTGTGTGTCTATCCATAACACATTGGATTCCCTTTTCAACTTGTTATGTCTATTCATATCACATAGGTGTTATTCATAGCACATAATGTGACATTGGATTCTCTTTTCTACTATGTGTGTCCTTTCATAGCACATTGGATGCTATTCTCCACTTGGTGTATCCAAACATAATAAATTGGATGTATCCTCCGCTTGGTGTGAGCATCAAAGAACTATATTACTACAAATACATGGTCTCACTTGACATTGGAGTCACACACCTCATTTTTACTTTTCCCATTTTCAAGTATTCTACAACAAGGCCAAATAAAATCATGAGTTCTTTTCCCGCATTTTACAAATCCATTAATGAAGATGAAGATGAAGAAGCCTATTCCGACCTCATGTGCATGGCTATGATGGTTTCTTTGGTTGCAACAAGCTCCAATAGCCGTGAGTACAATGATCATGGTCGAGAAGCTGGACAACGTTTGTTGATGGATGAATACTGGAATCCAAATCCCACCTACAACGCACGTATCTTCCGACGCCGTTATTGCATGCAACCGGCTTTGTTACATCGAATCATGAAAGATGTCATGGCTTTGGATCCGTATTTTCTAAGTACAGTAGATGCAGCAAACAAGTATCTCTTTCTCCTCAACAAAAACTCACTAGTGCGATATTTATGCTCACCAATGGTTGCTCGGCTGATTCATTAGATCAGTTATGTCGTTTGAGTGAGACGACCACGCTTTTGTGCATGAAGAAATTTCGTAGGACAGTTGTTAGTGTGTATTCTTGGTACCTACGAACCCCTAACCCCGGGGATCTACATCGTCTTCTTGAAAAGGCCTCAAAGAGATGCTTTCCTGGGATGATTGGGTCCATTGATTGCATGCACTGGGAGTGGAAAAACTATCCTACATCTTGGGGCAGTCAGTACATTGGGTACAAAAGAAAACCAACAATTGTGCTCGAAGCAGTTGCTTCTTATGATACTCATATATGGCATGCATTTTTTGGCACAACCGGTTCCAATAATGACCTCAACACCCTTGCAAGCTCCCCAGTCTTTGATGATGTTGTAAATGGATCTGCCCCTCAGGTACAATTCTGCGTGGATGGTAAGCAATATAGTCAATGTTATTATTTAGCGACGAGATTTACCCAACTTGGGGAACTTTTGTTAAGATAATAAGTCATCCAGACACTCCTAAGAAAAAGCTTTTTACTTCAATGCAAGAGGGTTTTCGTAAGGATGTTGAAAGAACATTTGGAATTTTACAAGCTAGGTGGGCTACATGATAGTAAAAGATGAATATGAAGAGAAGTATGAAGAACCAACCCAACAAGACTACCGTGAAGACTATGACTATATTGGTGGCATCGTTGAATTGGATCTTAACCATGATGGCCCGATCTTGAGTCGGTATATGATGCACCACAATCGAATTTGAGACTCCTCGGTGTACACGTCGCTTAGAAGTGGTCTCATAAACCATATGTGGAGGCACCATGGAAATGGAATGTAGTTTATATGTCTTCCTTAAATATTTGTGTTCTCTTAATCCAATTGTGTTTCATGTATTTCATTTACTAGTGTTAACTTCGTATTTGTACTATTTATGTTTTTTCCTAAAATCTTTATGTATTTCTAGAACTTTTATGTGCCTTGAAAAATATTTGGGCTTGTGTAAATTGCTTGTTCTTGTTAGTATCTTACTTAATAATGTGAAAGACTTATAATAACTAAAATAAATGGAATTTAAATAAAAATAAATGTGAACATTAAAATAAGCATACATAATTAAAATAATAACACATGGAATAAATTAAAATAACAAAACATGAAATTTAAAATTGAAACATACGTGAAATTCAACTTACAACACAATACAAAATAAAAACAACAATACATAAATAACTAGAAATTGAAGTGGGGATGATACACTTCTTCTGCGGAAGTGTCGGGAACATTACTTGAGGCATTTTGAAAATACCCCATGATTTCATCTTGTTTTTGCCTAATCCACCTTTGCTTCCTCGGTGAAAACTTTGAAAGGTCCACAGCTAGTAAGTCATACTGGTTTTTCATAATCTCCGACTCCACGGCCTTTGTGTTGAAGCTCATCGCGCTTAGCTCTTCTTGCAACTTGTTCTCTGTCTTGCTCAATCATTTCTTGAAAACATTGTGTCATCATTGGATCTAGCTTAGACGCCTTTGCCTTTTCCCTTCTTTTGGTTTTTTGTTTGTCCCGCCCTTCAGGGCATTGAAGTGGCACTCCATCCGAGGGAGAGCTAGCACTACCTCCGAGTGTGGGCGAATCGTGCGATTGTGAAAACGATACTGGCCAGGTGAAGGATACCGGAGCTTCGTATTGTTGGTAGCACTTCGGGCACGAGTGGAGGATACGCCACACATGCTCAAATTTGAATGGCTTGCCATGGTTATCATTCATGAAAATATTTTTGGCTTGAAAGTCCTACAATATAAAAATAAATGCGAAAAACGCATAGTAATATAATTAAATGTTTTAATTACGTAGTTATATCTATATTTTGAAAATATATTAATATACTTCATTAATTATAGATATATGTACTAATACTACTATATACATATAGTTATATATCTCTCTCAAAAATATTAATATAGTAATTTATTAATTGTAGTTATATATATAGACATATTTTTTACATCTCTCGCAAAACTATTAATGTAGTTATATCTATATTTTCGAAAATATATATTATATACTTTATTAATTATAGTTGTGTGTGTATCTCAAAAAAATATTAATAATATATATATATATTGAAAATATATTAATATATAAATTTTTAATTACAGTTATATATATAAGTTCAAAATATTAATGTAGTTATATAAAATAAAATATATACTTTATGAATTAAAATGAAATAATGGTGTAGTTTATAAGTTACCAAATCGGTTAAGTTCGACCCACTCGTCAGGGTTGCGTTCGCCTTCCGCACACAACATTTCCATGAAGAGCATTGGTGATTGATGATCTTGAAACGGGACTCAATTGAATCCTGACTCCGTGGAACGTCACATTTTTGCGAAAATGCTACATGAATGCGGCCCCAAAAACTCTCCCCGGTTGATTTATGCCAATCACATCATCTTCAGATATGGTTACCCAAGCGCTGCATAGAGCAACATCCTCACTAACACTCCAATTAGCACATCTTCTTGAGGAAGGCATCACAAAATTTAGATAGTAAAGAAAATATAATGAAGAATGAGATAAATGAGAGATGTGTGATTAAAATAGGAAGGAATGAGGTGTTTATATAGTATTTTCGGACAAAATAGTAATTCAAAATAATGGAAAAATAAAATAAATTATTTTAACCGTTGGATTTCAATTTCAGCTGTTCGATCAATTTTTTCCCGTTCAAACAGTATCCAAATCATCACAACCGTCGGATCTACCAATTTTGGGTGTTGTGTAACGCCAGCACGACCCCAACATGACATCCGCTTGGCAAATAATTCATGCACACCACAATTGGCCACATGGCCACTTGGCCTCTTTCCCCTCTGCGCACAACTGTTGCCCGCCCCCACTCCCCCACTCCCCCTCCATCCCCTTCTCCATTTTTACAACCACAGCAAGGAATTAGGAGTTCAAAAATTCCACTTTTAACATTTTGGACTCCTAATCCTACACCACTCTAAGTGGTCTAATGATGGTCCGCCCCAACTAGTCTTTACACTCAATTTTCTTTGTATTGCAAGTGTCAAGGAGGTGCGGGACGCAGCCCCTTTGGTCCCGATCAATTTGTGAGAAAAATACCCACCAATAATTCCAAAGATGAAACAATTGGGTCCAATTGTTTGTACCCTTGTCACGATGACTCTTTGTATTCATTTGAATTTTATTTATATTAGATTGTACTCTTATATCAACTAAGATGGCCCAATAAGGTATTTGGAAGTCCACTCGTAATACGAGTCCAAACGATAGTTTAACAAAACATTCATTATATAAAACATTAATCATTTTACACACGGTTTGTAATATTGAATTCAATACATCAACATAGAATTTTAAAACGTAGTTTCAAGTACGTCTGGGTGCGGTGTCATACTTTTAGTCTGTTAGACAAAACCTTAGAAAAAAATTTATATACCACATTATATAGGGCTATAGGTCTCCAATCCCCTAGATTATCGGGCTTCTCCTTTTTAGGAATTAAAACAATGTTCGTAGTATTTAATTCCTTTGGGATACTGCCTGACTCGAAAATACCTGTACAGAGCCGAGTGACCTCCAGACCCATAATATCCTAGAACTTCTGAAAAATGTCGGATTCATACCATCCGATCTCGGTGCTTTTTCGGGATGCATACCTAAAATTGCCGCCTTAACCTCCTCTCGTGAAATAGCTCGAAGCAACCTTCTATTGTGCTTGCTGCTCACCCTCCGAAATTGCCCCATCTCCTCCCCATAGCGAGTGACTCCTGGTCAGTTATAAATTAGTAAAATAATTGTGCACCATATCTTCCACCTCCCCCCGTTCGTGATCCACAGACCATCCTCTCTGCACAAACCCACCATTT